CTCTAACACTTGCCCTAGGGGACAAGATGTCTTCCTAAAGCAGGAAGTGTGGACATGGATTTCCAGACTCTGTACAATCACACCTGGAGCCTTACACATCACCAGTCATTCCCTAACACACAGAGAGAGGAAAGCAAACATGAACTGACCAGGTAGAAACCAGTCCTTACCCATTTTCTCCATGATCTTATCATAGTTCTCATTCCGGTCTACTTTCCAACTGCCGTCAAATGCCATGATCTCAGCCGTGTGTGCCTCTGGAAAAGCAGATTCAGTCCTGTCCACAAGAGAGAATTTATTCTACTTCTTATCTTCGAACCAATTCATAATGTAATATGGAAGTTTAAAGTTCAAGAGATTGCCTGACTACTTAGCATGCCATGCCCCTTTAGTTTCTCTTTCCATACTTTCTTTGAATCTATGTCTGAAATCCCACCAAATTAAAATCTGATAATCATACCTACTTTGTCTTCAACTACACATGTGGGTGTTTTTATTTCAAGAACTAGGTCCAGGGGTGGTAGCACACACCTTTAATCCCAGCCTCGGGAGGCAGAGGCAGGCAGAGCTCTATCAGTTCTAGCCAAGGCTACATAGGGAGTTCTACTCCAGCCAAAAACCAAACAACAAAAATGAATTAGACAAAACAATCTCAAGATAGGTTTCCATTTACAAGTTAAAAGTTCACACTATATAGCAGTTAATTTAATTTGTAACATACATCAAACAACAGGGACATGAGACTTAATAACTCAAACATTTCACAGTAGCAGTTGCTATATGAGACTATGTGAAATAAAATTGAAAAGCTGAACTTGGAAGGATTATTGGAACTAAAAATGTACTTTCATTTTTCTTTGTTTCTAAGATTACTTCAGATGAAATTAACCTAAAATTTAATACATTACTATTTGCCCAAATACCATGATTACCGTATTCTGGAACAGTGTCATTACCCTGAAAAGAAACTGCACACATGTTAAGCAGTGGGTTTTCATTTCCCCATTTTTAGAGCCTTAAGTTCTCATCCACTTTCTATCTCTATAGACATTTCCTACAAATAGAATTATATAATAGGTGTACTTTTTATGTTTGAATCTTTTCACTGATTGTGTTTTCAATGTTTGCATATCAGTTCTTTATTCTTTTAAACATTTTATTCTTTATTACCATGATTAAATTATATAAATTAAAGAATTCAGTGTGACATTTCAATATATGAATAATCAAATTCAGTTTTCCTCTGTCCCTCCTCCCATGTCAACCTCCAGCAAAATACCCAGATCAATGTTTATTAGTTGAAATTATACATTCTAATGTGCCCTTTTGTATTGTATTTAGGGTTAGCAGAGGTTTGTATAAATATCTGTGGTAGTTTGAATGTAATTGGCCCCCACAATATCATAGGGGGTGCACTGTTAGAGTTGCGGCTTTGTCAGAGTGGGTATGGCCTTGTTGGAGGAAATGTATGACTATGGGGGTGGGGTTTGAGGTTTCCAGTGCTCAGGACACTACGGACTGTCTCAGTCAACTTCCTGTGGCCTGCATATCCAGATGTATGGAGCATCACATCTACCTGCATGCTGCCATGCTTACCCCCATGATGATACTGGACTGAACCTCTGAACCTGTAAGCAAGCCACCCCAATTAAATGTTTTCTTTATAAGAGTTTCTGTGCTCATGGTGTCTCTTCACAGCAATAGAAAAACCCAGGACAACATCCCTGGTTCCTGTCCCACTGTTTGATACTCTGGGAGTCATAAGATTTTTTTTTGTCTTGAAAGGTGATATGCTACTAAGCAAAGTCTCAAGAAGTAGAAATGTGGCTATATCACAGAAAACTCTCCTTAGATTTGCCAGGTAAAGAAAATGTGCTGTGGGGCTATGTATATTTCCACTCCAATCTCAAGGTCACTGAAATAGCACATAGCTCAAGGAAGAGGTCTGGAAGGAAGACACTAGAGTGGTTTCTAGCCATTGGTCACCTAATAGTGTTTCCACACTAGGACTCCCTGCTCTGTCTGGGGCCACTTTCAACTGCTAAGAAGGAGCAAATGGCTTGGTTGTAAGAGAATCCTATTTGCATTCAGACACGCTGCTAACAGATGGGCATTTGAAACTTAATCTTCCATTTATCCGCTTGGAAAACACATTTTCTCTGGATTGTAGCATCACTAAATGTTTAATGCCCACTCAATTTTACAACATTATACTTCCTCTCTAGTTTTCCCTTCATACAACTCTTACCACTTACTAGATTCAATCTAGAAGATGAAAATTGTGCAAGACCTGTGGGCAGCACGACCTTTGGCTTACAGACTTTTCCTGTTGGTAATACTGAGTCGACTAACTTAGTATGGACCTAGACCATTCACTTCCTGTTCTTATGGAACCCTAAGACTTAGCCTCTCAGGGTTTGGGGAAGTGTGGGAATGCGGATGTTGGTGCTGTGGATACTATGGAATTCAGCCTCCGCCCCCCCCCCTCCCCCCGGCTCTGCAGTCCTCACCCCCCTGAGTGAGTTTTCTGGAAGAAGTGGCAATTAGCAAAAGCTGTAATTAAATACAGGCCAGGATGATGGACTCTGGCCAAGTCTATTCTGGAGTTCCCAGAAAATGGCCATGAACTATGTTGACCAAGTGCTTATAAAGGTAAACCCACAAGGCTAGGTACTCCATGCCTTCATCCAATTGGGGGCAAGCATACAACCTCACATATTTCTTACCCATGTACCTCCTACCTATGTGTAATCAAGCACATCTGATGTAGATGGGCCAACCAAACTGGTTTGGAGAAGTGAAAATACGTGGCTTGAACAACTTTCAGGAGCCATTGTCAGGAGCTATTGTGGGGCATGAAGAAAATACACTTTATAGCAATCAATAATTCAGATGTCAACCCACCAGAGGAATGATTCTCAGATGGAATACCCTATCAAGTAAGGCCACTGACTCTGAATACTGTTCCTTCCACCTGTAATTTCTTGTGCAGTAACAGCTATGATATCTCCCCCTTATGTTCATTTCCATGTAATGCGTACATGCAATCTCATGACTGTATCTCAATCTTCTGGGCACACATATATCCGTGGATGGTCAGGACAATGACTTCTTCTTATCTGTACAATTTAGATATATGGAAACTATACTAGGATGTGTTTCATAGCTAGATCTATTTTTCCACGTGGACTGTAGACACTTAATAGCCTGCTTTGCTCACATACCCAGATCTTTGTTCCATTCCCCAATATAAACTTAGAAGACTGCCCCCTGCAATTATCTTTATGGCAGGATGTTTGGTCAGAAAAAGTATCTATAAATAGATCACAATTGGTGCCTTCACAAGACAGGCCCAAGGACAGACATTATGACATGTCTGAGTTTGTTGATTCATAGCCCTTAAAGATATAGGGAACAAGCATGGCCTGGATTCACCCTGCCAGACAAAAAAGGAAGTGCTGCCCCAAGCTAACCCTGCTCTAACCTTACACTTTGTACTTACTTTCACCTCGGTTGATTGATTAGCTTATTATCAAGTCACACTTGGGAATGTAGTATAGCACACGGATTCCCCTCCTCCCTTCTTAGATGTTCCTAGTGACTTAAGGTCTCTCCCTTTACTTGACCCCTTTCCCTTTAAGAGTTCACTGGGGCTTTTTTATAAGTCATTCCCACCTTGAGCCATATAGAAAGCTGAGAGTCACTGCCTTGTGCAGCTCTTACCTGTTTTTATAACCCTGTAACATTCCAGCCTTATGATCTTGCTTTGGGCAGAGAATTGCTGATTGTATGTGTATATAAACTGGAAACTTTGAAGACTCAAGGAGAGAACAGAAAGGAGAGAACAGCAGAGCAATAAGGAGACATACGAAGAAGAAGAAGAAGAAGAAGAAGAAGAAGAAGAAGAAGAAGAAGAAGAAGAGGAGGAGGAGGAGGAGGAGGAGGAGTGTGAGTTGACTCATTTGCCTTCAGATTCATAGGTTTCCCTCACTTGCTTTGGTGTCTTTTCTAGACCCTGAAGAAGTCTTAGGGGCTGGTACCTAAAGGACATCATTAAACAACAGTGTCCAGCATCTCAGGAGGTTCCTGTCTTCGGGCAAGGGGCTTCCAAGCCAGAGGCATTTTTCTTTTATAGATCAGTAATTTTGCAGCACAGTAATTAAAACTTAAAACATAAGTTTGGCCCTCATATTCCTGTCTTGTGCTATATCCTGAGTCAAATATTTGACTCTGTGATAGCTGCGTGTTTATATTGGGATCTAATGACCATCAGCTCAATGGTAGCCAGACAGAGATTATCATCTTGCAAGGCATGAATGATGCAAGAGTGACTAGCAGAAACAGAAGGGTCAAAGCCCCTGAAATGCCTGAAATCAGAGTTACTGGTTAGGAGGAGCCTGAAAATGAGAATGGGGAGCAGTCATATATTTCATCTCAGGTCCCCTTTTTTGCAATTTTTTTTTTTAGTATAGCCAGATTCTTTCTAATGATTCCCAAATGGCTTGTATAGAAACAACATTTTTTTTTTTTTTTTTTTTTTTTTTGGTTTTTCGAGACAGGGTTTCTCTGTGTAGCTTTGCGTCTTTTCCTGGAACTCACTTGGTAGCCCAGGCTGGCCTCGAACTCACAGAGATCCGCCTGGCTCTGCCTCCCGAGTGCTGGGATTAAAGGCGTGCGCCACCACCGCCCGGCTAGAAACAACATTTTTTTTCTTAAAGCTATACAATAACATCTCTGTTTTACAAAGAGCAGGCGAGTGCCTTATCATATTGTAGAGCTATTCCAGCTAATGAATATACCTGTTGATAGATCTGGGTCTATTTGGTTTTTCACAGCTACCTTTGCTGGTATACCAGTTGCCACTGTAGGTAGCCATTTTGTCCTCTATGCCAAGGAGTTTCCTTTGATCTACCATCCCAGCCTATTGAGGACAAAGGTCGATGTACTGTCCTGTGTAACTACTTCCTGATGAAACCAGGATTTTGTCAGGTCCCATGAATCCTGGAATGTTAGTCAAAAGCTGGGAGGAGATTCAGGCAATAATGACCAGAAGTGCACTTATCATAAATATGAGAAATGTCAATATACTTACAACAGTTATGTCTAGAAAATAGGATAACTATGATTTGATTCTTTGAACTAATTCATATTTTCTAAATGAAAATTCTTTGACTATAAGTTAGTATATTTAAGAAAAGTTAGAAAATAAGCAAAAGTTATTTAAAACCAAATTATTTAAGTATTTCTCATATCAGATTTGCTGGAACTAGTGA